TAAGAGGTTGATGGTGGGTCTTCCAGCTGAACGTGAGTGAACATTTAAAGGCAAATTTAGTCTTTTGGCTAACTGGACCTGTCTGATTAGAACTTGTCTTTGTTCTTCTTTCTTCTCATCAGTGTTGGCAAATCGAGGAGAAAAATCTAACCCGACCTCTCCATTCACCAATAACTGATCCTTATACTTCTCAATAATGGACAAAGCATCATCCAAATCCTTTAATGTGACACTTCTTTGATCTTCTTGTAGTCCTTGAATTGGGTGAACACCCAAGCATGGCAGGATAAATCCAGAATACCTTTCTGAAAGCTTCATAATCTTTTCAAATTCTCCTGAATGTTCAGCAACTGCAATAAGGGCCACAACATTGGCCTCCTTGACTTTCTCCAATACATCATCGAGATCGTGGTCAAAGTCGGGGGCAGAAAGGTGGCAATGACAGTCCACGAGGCCCAGTGCCGCTGCCCTCATCTTCGCAGCCGCAGCCTTGGCCGACTTTTTCTTTTTTAATAACTCTGTTTAAGCAGGGCAATTTACATGATGTCCTCTGTATTTCTGGATTACCTTCATTTGGACCTTTGTATATTAAACCACATCCACCATCTCCCTTACCTTTTCACTAAAGTATTTTTTATATTTCCTCAAAATTCTTAAACAGTGTTTTGAATTTCACTAGTTATAGAAAAGTTTGATTCTAAAGCATTTTCAGTGTTTATATTACTAGTTTATTTTTTCAGCTTTGGTTAATAAATACAGATCATGTTGTGTCATCGAGCTGTAATAGGCTAGCTGACCCTCTAGCAGGTTTTCAGAGGCATGGATTTTACCATTGTATGGAAAGAGAGTGCCCGTTTTTTTTCCCCCTTTAAACTGATGGTGGATTTGAACTATGTGCCTTAGAATTGACAGCACAAACACCTTACCACTAGCTGAATCATAGTCAGCTTGACGGGATATATAACAACAGACTTAACAGTAGACTGCCAGAGCTCCCTATAGATAGATATAGATAAAAATCTTTTTCTGTATATGTAAATGTCTATCTATTTATATAAAAATATTATGCAGCTGAAATCATTGATTGATAAAAGTGGCATCATTGAGAATGTTGTCAGAAAGTCATCACTGAGGCTCAAAAACTGGAATTTTAGCTACTCTAGTGAATTACTTAGTAACCAGCACTAGGGGCATATCTGACTTGAAGAAATGATTAATCTTTTTTATATCCAAATAATCTGAATTACCATTGTTGTTGTTATGTGCCGTCGAGTCATTTGTGACTCATAGCGACCCTATGTACAACAGCCCGAAACCCTGCTTTATCCTGTGCCAATTGCATTGCCTCTGACACACCCATCCCGATTACCCCAGTCACTGAATCAATCCACCTCATAGAGGGTCTTCCC